AATGGCGAGTTCTGAGGAAAAGGCATACGAGATTATGAGAGAATTAGATGTCAACTATGTCCTTGTAATTTTTGGAGGGCTTACTGGCTACTCATCAGATGGTAAATCTAATCTAGCGTAACAAGTATCTCACCATTTTCCTATTAGTTTATTGGTTCCAAAAGGAGTTTGCAATTTACTTTATATCTCTTATCTCATAAATCAAAACTCGGCAGGATCAGGATCGATTGCTCTCACATGTCACTCAAATTATGTCTCTACTTAGACTATGCTGTGGGCAATTAAAAATTATTTAGATTTACTCTGAAAATTATAATACATTATAATGTTAAAAATGATCAATCTTAATTATTATGTATTTTGACTAGATATAAATAAGTTCCTATGGATGGTGCGCATTGGTGGCAGTACTGAAAAAGGAAAGTCCATAACCGAGTGGGATTATTACAACTCTGCCGGCGAATTCCGAGTGGATAAAGAGGGATCTCCAATTTTGCTCAATTGTCTCATGTACAAAATGTGCTATTATAGATTCGGCCAAGTCTACACTGAAGGCGGTACGACTCTTTTTCTCTATTGAAACGGTTTCAGTTAGTTTCATAAAGATTATTGTATCATTGAACTGTTTAAACAGGCAAACCTTCAGGCTACGATAGAGTAAGGAACATGGAGATTGGAAACAAGGACTTTGAATTAAATACATTGGAAGAAGCGTACACGACGGAACATTGGCTTGTGCGAATTTACAAAGTGAAAGATCTACGAAACAGGGGGGTTTAAGGTACTCTGACACCGCGATTTGCATAGACAAAAATCTATTGCCATAATGTCACAAATTTTTTTTACATTAACGTTCATTTATATATGCGTTTCGCGACAGTCACTGCGGAAATACATGTACATTATTGCATGTACTCATTGTATTGTAATTAAAATTTTTACAACTGAAATGTGAAGATGAAAAAGAACAGCATGAATATAAACGTTGCTGTGCGCAATTTATTAGAAGTTTAAAAGATATACGTTTAGCATATACTTCAGCAGCGTCCTTAAAAATCATACATAATATGTGGATAACATGACTATTAGAATACTACATTTGTTTATAAAGGTTAGCGTATAAAGCATATGCCTATGCTTTAAAATAGAAGAGAGCGTTTCTCTATAATAAATATTTCGCATTCAGTGCCCTACATATTATCGAATGATTATATTGTCTAAAGTATCTTCGTTATCTGCGAATGAACTGTGTTCGACATGAATATGTTATAAAGTTTATATTATATTGTAATCATTTCTCATGGAAACAGGTATAGTCAGGAATATTTAAATTAATTATATCGAAGCGCTAAGTAAATACAAGTTATGTTATATTTACCTAATTACTCATACATTACAGCCTAAATATATCGAGATATAAATAGAGTAATGCAATTAGATTGCATTGTTTAGGCCAATTGAAGTGTATTATAAACATGAAAAATGAATACGAATAGGGGGCATGTGTTTTATATTTTTTATTCTATATATTTAACAGACATTAAAACTGTTAAAACTTAAGGATTAGCACACAAATACTTGAATAAATGTCTTTTATTTCAAGGCTAATTTAGATGCATTATGATACTCTTTTTAATTCCATATTACAACATTATTTATACAAGCTATCTTAAAAATTCTAGCTCGATATTTTTATCATCACTTTAACAAAGATAGGAATGCCTATTTCGTTTAAATAATCATTTAAAGCTGCATAATGGAATTTACATTCCTAGTTGTGTGATTATCTTCTGATGGACCACATAGGATCCAATTGACTCAAGGGATCGATGACTCTGCCATTAGATTTTTCTTGTGACGATGAACTTTTACTCGACGTGCCGTCGCTTGCTAAAATTTTTTGTGTTTTTCCTAAAATGAAAAGAACATTGGGGAATTCTAAGAAGTGAAATGAGTAATGCTCAACAAATCACTTGCTTGAAACTGATATCACAAATCAATTTGTAATAGATATGATAACTGTGTACCCGATTGCTCAGAATCAGAACGTTGTATTCCCACGTCGAGATTGTGAAGAAAATCATCTGAAGGATGGCATTGTAACTTTCGCGATGTTCTCTCCTTGTTCCCTTTGAATCCGTCTAAATTTTCAAATGTAGCTCGAGTAGATGATAAAATGCCGCCTGATAAAATAAGACAAAACAGAGAATACTTAGAATATTGTTTCTTTAAAAATATCATGAGAGAGAAAAATTCTTCTTACGTTTCATTAAAATATCCTGAGCATGGTACAATACTAATCTGTATGCAAATAACAGTGATTCCTTATTTACGACTTGTTTGCGACACTTTGCAAGGCCCTTGAAAACCAGCGGTACATCTACGATTCCACAATCGGCGCGTATGTGGCATACAGTCGCAGCAGCCACTAAAAATAGACTGCTCAACGAACCGCCGTCTAAACAATGTACAATTACGGGCTTAGGAGAACAGCGTCTTAATGCCTGCTCTGTCATTACATCGCTTGAAAATGCAAGTATAGCGCCGGGACTACTCGGAAAACCACTGGAAAAGATATATATTAATCATTGTACGTGTACTTTTTAAGTATTTCAATTACAGAGTTAACTTACTTTGAAGGCCACACAAGAAATTGCATGTGTACAATGACTCTTTCGGTTTTTTTCTTATTATGCTGAATAGAAAGAGTCCTTTGAATATAGGTTGTATAGTTAACTATCTTTTTTAGCGAAATAGTATAATTTCCAATGTCTAAGTTGTCTTCTTCACTTATGGGCCAATATAATTCTCCATTCATCTACAAAAACATTTATTATATCGTTGGTACACTTAGAAAAGTAGATCAAAAGTAAAATGATAATAAAAAATTTCAATATGTATCTCTTTTCAGTTTCTTAAACATCATAGAAATATATATTATTTTTGTGTATAAACCTGAGTATCGGATGCCAAGCACGCAATAACTTCACTCTCTTGTTCCCAGATCATCGTCCAAAAAACGTTTAATTTATCTGCTAAGGGTGCTTGAGTTATAATAAATGCTGTAGGTATCCACTGCGTGATTTCCATGATGTGAGATGCGTTTATGTACGACGAGACATCCGATGACGATATTTGCACCCGTGTCGTGTCGTACGGAATACAATCAATTGTTCGATTTTCAGACGAGTGAGCTAACGCTACGGTGCTTGACTGTTTTCCATTTTCCCGTTCCTGGAAGCGAAAAGAGGACTTTTATAAATTCACGAACGTACTTGCATTTTTCAAATTCTATTCTTCAGGTGAAGCGTAAGATGTGGCTAGCGGGATATCAATGAAATTTTTATCTTGAAATCCTTACTTCGAAATCCTGAACCTCTTTCCACTTGATATCAAGATTCGTGGCTCCGCTTAAAGTTTTTACGAGTAAACTATTTACGAACTTTTCATATTTCTCGACATCGTTAATGAACTTTTGCAGTGCTGCTGGCTCTCCCAGAGGATCCTTCTTCGGTTGAACGTCATTGTACCACGTGTCCCATACGATTTGCAAGTTCTCATGATCACTTTTATCTTCGGTAGAAGCTGCGACTTCTTGTTCGGTTTTACAGGACTTGTCTTGTTCGTTCTTTTCCGATTTGTTATCTTCCGCAGTATCATCTGTTGTCACCTCCTCTTTCTTCTGCACTGAAAGAGGCCGCACTTCTGGCACAAGAGGTGCGTGGTTTATAGTAATGTCGAGATCGGACAGAAGATCAACGTTCGATGTCAGTTCCTCGGACTTGGTCGTGAGTTTCATCGGATTAGCACTCGTTGTCGTGTTCGTTCCGTTGTTGACGGCTTGCATGTACGTTTGATTGTAATTGGTGTAATTTTCAGGTCTCGTTACCGAACCAGCTGAAACAAAGTCAATTGAAATGATGAAACGATTCGTTACGCCTAAGAAAACATAATGACGGTACTAAGGCTTAACTTTAAGCTTTAGTCCAATTCGTTCCTTGTCTCTTTCCAACTGTTACTTTAGAAAGAGACAAATATGAATTAAACTAACAATAAGGGTAACACGTAAACGTACCTTGACCCTGCATTTGAAGACCGTAAGGCGTAGTATAGTATGTACCGTTTTCTGTTTGAGGCTGATAAACTTGACTGTACTGCGAGGATGGCGTTTGACTGACCACAGCGTTATTGCCCGCGTTCGTGTACCTCGCATTTGTCTCCTGCTGCTGATAAATGCCACTGGCCGTAACACTGGAGGACGTTGCCTCCAACGTTTGAGGAGTTTGTGCATCTTGGGGATTAGACGCGTAAGTGTAGCCCTGGGCCTGATTACCAGGATTGTATGTGTACGCTGTATTTGTTCCATGCGCGTTCTGCATATAAGCGTAGCTTTGGCCCTGCGAATAATTTGGATATTGCACATACGCCGAATAAGGAGTCTGCTGCGAGTACTGATACGACTGCGAGTAACTCTGCACCGTCGTCGGTTTCGCGTGGCTCTGTATTATTTCCGAGCTGCTCGAGCTGTTTATGTAGGCGTACGTGCCGGACGCATCCCCGGGTAGCATGCCAGTCTGTTCGTACGGCACGCCAGTGGCACCGTGCTGATAATTCTGATAAGTACTTGGATAATTCGAGGCGACGGCGTTCATTTGCATCTGCGTGCCGTACGCGGCGTACGCCTCGTCCGTGTAACTCTGCTTACTCGGTTCTGTACCGGCCTGCTGCGGATACTGGACAGGGTTAACGCCGTGTAAGCTCGGGGAGTACGGCACCGAGGCTTCGTTCGTCGACGGCGCGGAATGTACGGACTGATTGCTCGTGCCCGGTTGCTGCGACTGCATATACTGCGTCGGAGGCACGACAGCCGCGTCGTATGTGCCTTGAGTATACGGGATTCGCTGGGCTTGCAGCTCCGCCGGATTGTAATACGTGGTGCTCTGATAGTTTTGCGGATACGCGACTTCGGAGTGGGCGGCCTGAGGCAGCGAATAGTTCTGCGTCAACGTAGCGTCCTTTGCCGGCAACGTTTGCTGAGATCTAGCGGCGTTCTGACCACCGTGAAACGACATTTCTTGGTTCAAAGTCGTCTTTTGCGGATTATCATATTGCTGAGCTTGTTGCACGACGCTATAAGCTTGCCCTTGGCCGTCCGTCGACACGATGCTGCTCGCCGCTGCGGCTCCGATCGTAGAGACGGGCACTTGCGGTACTGGCTGAACGTGCGTAGGTGTCTCAGCTGTTCCGCTTTTAACTGTGACTGTCTCTTGATTCGGAACGTACGGCGTTGCGATGTTATAATTGTTATAACCGGTTGGAGATTGATAAGCATCGTATTGCAGAGCCGCGTTAGAAACATTGTAGTTAGAAGAGATGTCTCGGAACGTATCTTGTCCGGATGTAGGTAGAGTTTGTCCGTTAGGCAGATAGGAACTGACAGGGTAGTGTACAGTCGAATTAGATATATCTGCAGATGACGTGGACAGAGTCGGTTGCTGATAGACGTTCGTGGTGTTCGTAGCGGCCGGCAAGTAGCTCTGACTCAAGATGCTATTAGCAACAGGATTTTCATAATAAGTCTGCGTACCGTACGGATACGGGGAGCCTGTTCTATAATCAGCGTACGACGCGGGATAATAATGTTGCGACGACTTCGCAGCCGAGGACGAAATTTCCGACGCCTGTATCGTGCCTGGAGATTGAACGACATTTTTGCCTCCCATCTCAGTTGCCAACGTTTTCGAATCCACTTGCATCGACGCGACATGCCCTTTGTACAAGTTGTAATATGGATTTTGATAACCGGTGCCGCCTTCCACTCTGCTGTTCAAATAATCCTTCAGCTTCAGGCCGTTGCCGGATCGAGGACGCCCTTGATCGTGAGTCGACGGTATCACCGCGTCGATCTTCTCGTACGCGTTCTTGTTGTCTTGCGCAAGTATCTGCTCTCGTTCTTCTTCTTGTACCTTGCACGTGCTCTTAACTCGCTGTAATAGCTTCGAAACGTTTATTTCCAATTTTGTGTAGAATTCCAAGCCTTTGCTCGATTTTGCTAACAAATCCTCGTACGAATCATAAGAATTGATCAAAGAAGATATGGTCACTTCTCTACGTTTCAACACTTCCTCCACATTTTTGCGCACATTAGCAGTCTGTGCGTACGCGTCCGTTAAAGCCGCTAAGATATTATCTTGTGCAGCAAGGTTTTGTTCTATCAAGCTCACCTGCAATCCAATATTAAGCTCTTTTATTCAATTGTTATACATATATATATATTAACTAAATAAATATTTAATCGTTAAAAGATATGAAGACGCGTGAAATTTTACCGACCAAACTTTGATGCTTGCTAAGTTGATCCGAAAATAACTGCTCTAGAGAGACAGGCGGAGTAGATTCAGATGTAGCAGTGACTAGTAAACGTGTTAGATCGTCTTTGACAATTTGATCTCGTAATTTGGTAAGCAAATCAAGTCTCTGCATTCGCATTTCGTCCACTTTATTCAACACACGTTTCAGCTCTTTAATATGCATTTTCTCTATTTCCTTGGTTTGTGATTTTTCGAAACTTTGATCTAAAAACATTAAAAGAATGAATTCGTGCTAAACTCGAATTCAATAAGTTTTCTTTGAATCAATATGACTATTTTATTGTTGTTATATTTATAATATATATTATATAAAAATTACCTGCAAGATACACGTTGGGTGAAGGGATTTGAGCCATTAAATCGGCTATTGGCTGCGCAAGAATTTTTAAATTCTTCACATGCATTGATATTGCTTTATGAAGAGCTTGGTTACTTTCAGAAGCCTTGTTGTGTGCTTCTTCATATTTATTAGCTTCTCTAGTTAGATCCGTTGCTACTATCGACGGTGGTCTTTTGCCTACCGCATCTTGATACTGTTTTTCTCTACAAAATATAAATAAATTATTCAAACGGGAGTCACGGTTCTTAAAATCAAAATAAATTATTAATTATATTTTATTAATATAAAATGTATTAATAATACTTTTCAACTGTTATGAAATAGTGTATGACACACTAGAGGCTTAAAACTTTGAACGAAAGCATAGATTAATTCATACTTTTGTTCCTCATCCAACAAAAGTTGTGATATTTCCTTTAATACTTTCTCAACATCTTTGCTTGTTTTACATAATTTTCCCAAAATATCGACTAATTCTTGAATAACATGTTTCTTTGCATTAAGCGCGGCACATCGTTCGAGTAGCTCTTCCGGGAGAGGTAAGCATTCCCATTCTGAACCTTGTGAATCAAGATCCCACAAATTCATATGTTCCAGCTTCAAGGAAGTCAGGTAGGTATTAAGGTATTGATCTTTCTCGTCAATTTTTGTCCCGATAAAGCGCAGTATTTTAGCCTTTTCCTCCGAATAAAGAGAATTAGCTTCGTGCACTTTCATAGGAACAAACCTGTGAAACAACACATAGATATTAAACTCATACAAAAGGAATAAACTACGAATAATGCTCTACGACAGGAAAACAATTATAACGACACGATAATAATTTTGCCACTTACATTTGTAACTTACGATAAAAGACGATATAATGATACAAGAAAATATTATAAAATTACCTCGCAAATATATCCTGTCCCGATACCTCTGTATCATTTATGTTAAACGATATTCCTTTAACTAGAGACGCGCCTTTCACAGTAGGAAGGCTTTCTTTCTCAGGCACTTCTTCGTGATAAATAAAGTCGTTCTCATTTTTAGCGGCTTTTCTCTTGCCTTCGATCACATCATTGGTAAACGTGAGTGACTCTTCCACCGCGGCTTTTTCCTCCTTAATGTTTGCGAAATCGTAGATCGTGTGCGCCTCGTTGAGCGACGCTAACGCAGCATTATAAAAAGCTACTCGTTCTCCCATCTTCCTCTGTTCCTCTGCGGCAAGGCCTTGATAAAGATACGTGACGGCCATGTGATACGCTTTCTTAAACTTGACGTAGCGTTTCCAGCTCTGCAAAAGTTTCGACGAATTATAATTGACTCGGTAATTTTACCGAGCTCTCGCAAAAGTAATATACCAGGCTCACAAAATTACGCGAGCTAACTCAAGTACCCTAATGTAACTCGCCTTATAAATTTTGCTGCCCACAGTGTCGGATATGGTTCCGTCTTCAGCTCCGCCTTGCTCCAACGTGGTTAGGGCCATAGTGAAGTAATCTACTATTTGCTTTGCAACTTTTGCTGCGTAATATATACATCTTGTACACAATGACAGACAGAACTAAACCACAGTTACTACAACGAACGAACAAAACTGACGACTGACGGAACGTACCTACAATTGTTGGCTTACGATTGTCGAGCATGCTCTTCTCCAGTATGCACTCTTGCGCTTGCGCCAAGGAGAGCTGGTGCATGAAGGTCATTAATTCCGGCGACAGGTCGATACCGGACGGCTGAGGAAAACTGTTCTTCAGGTGCTCGAAGGCCCACGCCGCGCATTGAAAGTGAGTGCAAGCCATCTTCATTCCGTCGGCGCTGTTTCTCTCGGTCCGCGCGCCCAATTGACTGTGCATCGCTCCGATATTGTATAAAATCGATATTATCTCGAAACGGATGCTGCCCAGCGAGCACACCAGGTTCGCGTAAGCGTCTCGCCTAGAGGGAAGTGTTGTAGAGTCCGACAGGAATTAATCCATAAATACACAAGTTCGTGTACAACTAGACTGAATGTTAAATATGCATAAAGTGCAATGTAAGGATACCGGATTCGTACCATGTGAACGTGGCGGCGGCATGGCCGTCCTTGTGCATGGGAAACCTGCTCTGAAGGAAATTCAGCTGGCAATAATACTTCTTCAGCAGCGCACACCCAGCCATGTCGACCGGCGGTCTGACCGCCATCGAGCGTAAGCTCTCCAACTGGTGTATTTCATTGTTGTACGACTCAGGGTCCTCGTTGTAAAATTCTTGTATGTACTGCAAGAGAGAGAGAGGGGAATAAAAAAGCGTCGACGACGCACAGGGTGAGCAAAGGACGCAGGGGGACGTGACGCCGCCGCGGTGGCAGGTTGCACTTGTCGGCGCTTCGACGCTCCGCGTAAACGGATCTGCGACGGACTGCGTAACGTGGATGGACTAATTAGATAAAAAGGGAAGCGAGGCGCGCTGAGTACCTGTTTGAGCTTCGGTCCAAAAGTGGTCGGCTCCGGACTGACTTTCAGCTGGAACCATATCATCGGCAGCCTCGGCACCGCCTCCATGTCGGCGCGCTCCCGTCGATCCTCACTTTGACAAACCCGCCGCGCACTGACAGTCGGTCATCTGTCAAACTCGACGGAGGTGGATCCAGGCGAGGACATGCAATACTCTCCGTCACGTACTACATACGAGTGCGTATGAGTGACGAGGGATTACGGGTCTCTTTCAGGAGCGTACACAATCCGGGAGTCTCTCTCGGCCAGTCACGGGCGGCGCGACAGTTCCCGTTCACGGAAGCCGTTCAACGGGTCGGCATGGCTTCGAGACCATCGTACTCCAGGGCGGGAACTACAAAATGGGGAGTCACGACGGCGACCCCTCGTTGCACCGTACAAGTAAACGCACGTGCATTCGTACGTCTGGCCGAGAAAATCGAGACACGCGCGACAGACGGGAGTGGACGGGAGCGTCGGGAGTTCTATTTCGAGTATTTCCGCAAAATTTCGCTAGTGCAACGGGGCCACGCGTGAATTTATTATCGACGAAGCGCGAATTCACATAATGGCTGCGTACAGCAGAGAAAGCTGCTTCGCGACAGTGTAAAATTCGTAAATTTGACTGGAGCACGCTCTCAGATTCTGCCATAATTAGGAGCGTACGACTGCGATTAAATTCAGGATTTTGCACAATAGTTGCAAAGCGACTTTCTCTGCCGATAAAATCGGACGTATTTAGTCCAGACTCGCACCTGAAGGTAAACTCTGTCGGTAAAGTCGACTGTTCCTGGTTTCGTCTTTAATATGCGCACTTTAATCGTACGGAAAATTTTGCAATTTTATAAAGCCAGTTTCAAATTTAGTTAAAACTGGTTAGAACTACGAATTGAAACTTTCAAATACCAATATCTTTTTTATCAGACATCTGAACTGGGTGTTTTAGGTATATAAAAATGTTCTGCTACGCGGTCCGCAACTTATCCTGGTATTATTTTGCGCATAAAAGCTAATAAAAAGAATTACAAGCGCAAAAACTATGTATTTGACTGTGTCGGTAAAAAAGATGGCTGAAGGTTCCTCTTTACCTGTGCAGCACTAGATGGCACCAGTCGTGTCGGACTGTCGCGATAGTAACCGGCGATGTATTGCAAATAATAGGCACAGATACGCTAAATAACTAAAAGGCACGGATATGTAACTTGAATTAATCTATTTTAACTCACAAATAGATTTAATATCGCCAGTAGTGTAAAACCAACGTTTCTCAAGAACGACCTACACTGGCCAATGTTTTTTTTTTAAAAACACAACGTTTCGGTCCCGGATTTAGATCGTCCTTTTCAAGTAATCTGTTCACACAATTGTTACTGCTCTCATATCGTTCGTTTGGCCAGTATCGTTATGTTACTAAAGATATTAGTCAAAAAATGATTGCGCTCTTTGGTTTAGATTTGCAGAGTCGATTGATGTTGCATTATTAATTGTAAGACACCGAGTAAAACCAAAATCAAAGGGCCCGGCAGAGAGTGGACCTACTACACTATGCAGTTTGGAATCGGTGATTTTCAAGATAGCTCAGGTTTACGGATGATAAATTTTGGCAATGATTCTTATAACCCGATGTGGAAAAGGAAAAAAGATTCAACGGCCCCGAATACGGAACTGTGCCGGACGTGTTCGAACACGTACGTTATAAAACGAGAAAGCAATATTTGTCATCACCGACACTGACGGAAACTCATGTAATTGAACGGGTATATGTAAATGAACCTTTATGCGTCACTCGTCTATTTCTGCTGCGCGATGTCCGCGCGTACGAAGTGTAAATTTCTCCATTTTACAGATCCCCGATGGAATTCGTCATCGCTCTGTGCCGCGCCCGACGATACGAGCCTCGTGACACGAGGAACCCGATGACCGATCCCAGGAAAGACTCGACGAAGGTGGAGAGAATCAACGATTACCTAATCACGCGCGTTACCACGACGCACGTTTTATCACGGAGTCATTTCCGCGGGATGCCGCAGTATCCTTTCGGATCGCGAGCGTTTGGTTGCCGTTCGGTGCGTCCGCACGGCTCGCCTCGCCTCTTTCGTCCGATCGCGTCGAGAAGTAAACGTTCGGGGAAACGATGGCACGGCGGACGACGATCATCCTCCGCCTCCTCCTCCTCCTCGGGACAGCGCGCCTTCTCTTCGCAGCCGCGACCTCGCAGCATCGCGACCGGGAGAGCCTATGCGAGTTGCGGCAGACCTGCGCGAGCTGCCTGCAAACGCCGCGATGCGTCTGGTGCTCCATGACGGTAATGAATATTTATAAGCGCCGTTAACGAGCGGTCTACTCCGCTAGGGATGACACGCGGTGAGAAGGAGGGAGAGAGAGAGAAGCGCGCACCTGCGACTAAACCCTGTCGTCGCGACGGGCCCGTTCGCCAACGACGCGATCGCGTTCTCCAACCGGCGCCGGTGATGATTCATACGCCGCGAGTGAGCTCACGCGGTTGCGCCGCATGACTGTTTTGCACGACTCCCGCGCGCTTGGCACGAAAACAGATTTCTTTCGCATCTTCTGTTTTCCTGTCAGTCCTTCGATGTCTAAACGAGAAGAGAAGAGATTGCGAGTGGAATACGCACGTGCCCGACGTGTTTCGCGTGAAAGATTAGGCGATCCGCTCTCGAGAGCTTTTTCATTACGATGAATACGTCTTTATCTGTTTTCATTTCTTGAGAAAATAAGTGGAATCTTTCATTATCTTAAATATTGTGCTTTAAATGTTGCAGATTTCATTAATAAATTGATATCACATGTACAAAGTGGACTTCAGAAACAATAGCAGGACCAAGCAAATGTATCCATTAATTATCGACTATCAAGTGTTCGCAATAGTTTTGCAATTATATTCATGCAATAGCTTGGGCACCCAGATAGCCAGTGTGAGCACAAGTCACTTTCATATTGCTAACAAACATGTCAGCGTCGCGCTATGCATCTGTGTCTTTTATTGTGCTGTTGTTTGCTAGCACTTGATGTCGGAAATGATACATTTGCATGACCCAAACATGCTAGCATTAAGTGCTTGGCCAGATGTAATAGACGTAACAGGTATAACACGTTTATGTCTGTTGGAAAATTGAAAACAATGTATGCTAATTCATTGTTAACAGTATGCGATATGTTTTCTCTTTAGCTGCGCACTTAACCACTGCTGGCTGTAAATCACTCAAACATTGAATTCATATTCCTAGCGAAGAGCTAGCATCGGTTGCTGGCATTTTATTTCCGCACATTGCTTGAGCTTAGTTGCTCTATAACTTTTCAAGTTATAATGGATAATAATTGAGCTTTCGTTGACGACTTTGTCTAAAGGTATCCAAACAGAGTGTGAGTGCTCCTTTGCTGCGTTGCGTGTCCAAACAAACATATTTGAAAGAAGGCGACCTTTGGTGTCAACCGTCCGCTGTCGTACACCGTGAGAATACGATGGATATCTTGGAAAATCGGCGATTATCTTCGATCAAGGGTAACGATCCCGTGCAAGTTCAGCCCCAGAAGATAAGATTACGTCTCAGGCCAGGTAAGAACAAGATTTCACCGAGATTCACCCTTTTGTATGTTCAATATTAAGGTACTTTGCAAACTATGGAACGTCACCGTATATTCCTAATATTAAAACAATATATCTGCGTATAATTTTAAGTACCAGAAGTTTAAACAAATTATTCGTAGGCGAGGACTATCGCGTAACTATGAAATACAGTCAGGCGGAGGATTATCCTGTGGATCTATATTACCTTATGGATCTATCAGCGTCCATGGAGCCATACAAAGACAAATTATCGAAGCTCGGTCTGCAATTGGCTGATGCCATGAAAAAGCTCACGTCCAATTTCCGTATTGGCTTCGGCAGCTTTGTAGATAAGGTCGTTTTACCGATGACTAGCACGCAGCCTGATAAGTAATTATATTTAATACATAAGTCATTACAAACATTGCCAGGATGTCCAGTGGTCAGGGAAATCTGGAAAACCGGGAATTGTCAGGGAAAAGTCAGGAAATTTTACGATATGTCTGAATTTTTTACATCATTTCAGATTTTTTCTGAATAATTTAAAGTTTTTAGGAAATGAACTTTTCTTTGTATCACAAATGGTTTGAATGGTTTGTAATGATATGTTCGTTTCTATTACACAATGTATTATACATAGATGGTATAATTGCTTTAATTTAAATTTTCGCCTTTTTAAATTCCGGACTTTTGTTTCCCGAGAAAAATGTTTCAAGAACTTCGTCATTTAACATTTACTTGGTTTACCATACGGATGTACGCAAATTATGCATCTTGAAAAAAGTCACACTAAACGGCCAGGGAAAAATTAATTCCGGCTCCTGGAAAACCTGAAAAAGTCAGGGAATTTTTTTCATTGAGTTTGCTGGACACCCTGATTACGTTGAAATTATTATAATTGAATGTAAATTGTGCTGGTACGCAATTTATAATCCGACTGAATTTTCCCCCTCAGATTGGAATCTCCCTGCATTTTGAAAACTGAAGAACCGTGCGCGCCGCCTTACGATTATAAAAATCAGATGCCTCTTACGGGGAACGTTACTTTGTTTGAGGTAATTATCGCTATGCAGTTGTATATTCGGCATGTGCTAAAGCAAATAAATTGTATTAAATGGTTTAAAATGTTAAAAATATAAATAAGTTTCAATTACTTCTAAAGTAATGATTTGAATATAGAACGTACATCTCGTACGGAATTCGATATTAGCATATTATTCCTGATGACTTCCTGCAGTTAATTTTAAATGATTGAAATGAATACAAGTGGTCTTAACAAATAGGATCAGGTACAAGCGGCTCCGGTGTCGGGTAATTTGGACGGTCCCGAAGGCGGGCTCGACGCGATGATGCAGGTCATAGTGTGCACCAAGGAAATCGGCTGGCGCCAAAAGGCACGTCATCTTATTGTGTTCTCGACCGACGCAATCTTCCACATCGCTGGGGACGGTAAGGTATGTGAATCAAAATGAAGTACACGAGGTCGCGCAACCATGAGACAAACTATTCGACCATAGCCGAGTAATGCGGGGTCTACAATGCAAGACTCAGAGTCGTAGTCGTAAAAATAATCGACTATGATTGGTCAATTCTTATGTGTCTGACTGAATTGAACAATCACAGTCGATTATCCTTACGACTGCGACTCTGAGGCTCGCATTGTAGACCCCGTATAAGAGCTGAGACTTCGAGATGAAAAAGCTTAAGGGTTGCTCAGCTTGCAGGGATAATAGAGCCCAACGATTGCAAGTGTCACTTGGACGAGAAAGGATTCTACACTTACTCCCTTCTGCAGGATTACCCGTCAATTTCTCAGGTGAGAATTTGCGCTCTTTTTGAGAATTATTCGCCGACCGGCGCGTATTGCGAATTTAATCGCTTGAGAGCATTTTTAAGAAAATTGTTTTCTTTGTTTAGCTCAACAGAAAAGCGCGCGAGTACAATATGAACATTATCTTCGCCGTCCCTTACGAAAAAAATGCGACTTATCAACGATTAAGTCGTAGCATCAGCGGATCCTCAACCGGAACTCTGGAAAACGATTCGAAGAATGTCGTCGCCTTAGTGAGCAGCGAATACGAAGTAATTACATTTGTTATAAACGATTATATACATAATTATGAATTTATATAATTTCTAAATTACATACTTACACAATTTATAAATTATCTTTACATTTTAGTTCGCATTAAAGTCTAAATTAATGGAGAATTAATTTTAGAATATTACCTTATTTTACAAAACCACATAATAACTAAAAGTTTCATAGTAATTTAATATGTTGACAATTTACAGAAACTAGTGGACTCTGTAACAATGATCGATACAGCGCCAAAGATGATCAACGTTAAATATTTCTCCCGGTGTTTGAACAAAATGGGAGAGTTGTTGGAACGTCAGGAATGCGGAGGACTCCGCGTGGGCAATATTATCGAGTTTGAAGTTGTGCTTAAGGTGCGCTAACAAGTTAGAGCTATTATTATTAATTAAGAATATGATTCATTACTTGATTGTTACCAGGTTGTAGAATGTCCCAAGGATCCAAGGGACTGGCATCAAACTATGGAGATCAAACCTAGAGGCCTGAATGAGAGTTTGACTATTGATCTGGAAATCATGTGCGACTGTCCTTGCGAGAAACCTGGACACCCGGTAGATATATCGGAGCAAAAATGCTACCTTGAATAGTAACGCAGAGAAATTTACTTTTCGATTAATACAAATTCATCTTGCTTTATAATATTCTAAAATATACAATTAAAAATATTATTTGCACTTTCGTTTGAGCAATCAAAGCTCTTACTGATTTGCCTTATACTTTGAATTTTAAATCACTATTCGCAACACAGGGATATCAGCCGAACGCGGCAGAATGCAAGGGTAAAGGCACATCCGTGTGCGGCGTGTGTTCCTGCAACCGCGGTTTTTACGGAAAGCAATGCGAGTGCGAGGGAAACAATGTCAGTGCTGACAACTCGATCTCAATAACCGACTGCAAGCCCGACAATCAAACCACCGAGATCTGCAGCGGTCATGGTACGTGCAAGTGTGGCGTTTGCGATTGCGACAAACGGCCGAACCCGCAAGAATTGTTCTACGGAAAATACTGCGAGTGCGACAATTTCTCTTGCAAACGCAGTGGTGGCCAGGTATGTTCGAAAATTAAAGACCTAACGATCACAAAATATAATATGTAAAATTCCAAGCAACGCCATCAAGGATGAAATCCTAACATTCTTCATATAAAATGTAGAGAGCGCACTTGATAGTTCCCTAATAAAAATACTCAATATTGTACGTGATTTTCTTATAATCAAACAAACATTATTTTGTTTTATTATGCATTATGAATATGTAAGGGCCGGTTTTTCCAACCTCTTGATAAGCTATAGTTTAAGTATATATCTATCTTTGTTTAATTTGAAAGAAACACGAAGACACATATATGATTTAACTTGTTTGTTAACTTACCGAGAGGTTGAGACAACGGGCTCTAAATAAAAAAATATACTCGTAACTAAAAAATCGTTGAGTATTTTTTAAGCTGCAAGTATTTGCCGCTGATATAGACAATAAGAATTTACACGCTTAAAAGAGGGTAGCCGGGGATAGGAGATCTCTATTATCGCGCGTAACTACCGTGTTCTCGCTTGATAGTTGCTTTTAACAAATTCGCGCGGAAGTTACACGGCAATCTTGCCTTGGAGCGAGCGCGGTGGCGGCGTTTATAAGGTCGGTTGGACAAATTACACGCCTTTGTACGTACCCCATTACGTTCGCCGTTCGTCTCTCCTTTGTCCGTTTAAGGTCTGCGGCGGACGGGGCAAGTGCGAATGCGGTACCTGCAATTGCCTGCCGGGATGGGGTGGCGAGACCTGCGACTGCAAGGAGACCAACAGCACATGCATCCCGCCGTCGGGCGAGCACGTTGAGATTTGCAGCGGACGCGGCGACTGCATCTGCGGCAGCTGTCACTGCCACGAACGGGACAATATCCGATATTCCGGACAATATTGTGAGGAGTGTCCGGTGAGTGTCCGCGCGTAAGGAAATGATGTGGGGAGTTCGTTGGAAGAAATCGATCAACGATTTCTTCTGACAAACACAATGAGGAAGGGCACAAAGGAATGGAGATACGTGAATGTTTTCACATGAAAATTTCTATACTAATTAATTACCCGTATAAAGAGGGCGGTGGGGCTTAATATTATTGTGCGTGCACATGGTTGAAAGTTATGTGCCTGCGAAGGCTAGTATTACATTTGTCGTGCGACACAGTTTTCACATGTGTTGATTGGCCGCAGGATAGTCAAATTCTCGAGTATCTAGAAATTTTCTATTCAGTATCATTTTAGTCTTGTGATACAGTAATTTATTTATAACGCACTTTAGACGTGTCCAGGACAACGATGCGAGGAGCTGAAGGATTGCGTGGAATGCGTGGCGTACAACGCAGGACCATTCGCGACAAATGGAAAATGTGACTTGTGCATGCACGAAATAGACATTGTTAGTAGTTCTTCCCTTGAGATAACATCTACCTTGCAAGTTACGCGATTAATAATTTGCGGTGCGCCGGACGCTTATTACTTCGCAGGTCGACACTGTCGAGGAGGATTCTGCGAAGGACGCAGAAACCGACGCCCGCATATGTCGAACACCCGGTGATGCAGGCTGTACGTTTGTTTTCAAATATCAATATCACAGAGCCGGTACCGGGGGAGACATAAAAATCTTCAAGATTCAAGCCCAGAAAGAGAGAGCTTGCCCAACACCCATTAATGTTTTCGGTAATGACTCTTGTTACACTTGTCACTATTATACTATAAATTATGCGTCGCGTTATGGTTCGCTTCCATGAAATATACGATTTACATCTCATTGCATGCTTTGATAAATTAAACAAGATTACATGTGAATAATTACTCGTGGAGATTAATGCACATCTGCATATAAAGTACTTTTAAAATTATGTAATGTATTTTTTATGCCATTATTTTAAGACTATTCTATTCTGAATAATTTCTTTCTCTCTCTCTCACTCTCTAATACTAAGCATCTTCGCGCGTTGGTTGTGCTTACGTATACGATTGGACATGCAAGAAGATACAAGATGAACTAGAATTTACTTTCTCCCGTAGGTGTTGCGCTGGGCGTCGTCATAAGCACCGTCATCATCGGTTTCCTGATTCTCCTCATTTGGAAGATCCTCACGATCATCCACGACAAGAGGGAGTTCGCCAAGTTCGAGAAGGAGCGCGCCCTCGCTAGATGGGACAGAGTGAGTCGCTATTCCTCTTTGTTCCTCCCGATCGCGTGACTACGGGATTGCCGGAACGTCAATATGTCGAAATGTTTTCAGGGCGAGAATCCTCTGTACAAACAAGCGACGTCGACTTTCAGCAATCCAATGTTCAAGGTATATCCCAGTTAAGTTAATAATTTATAACTTTGGACTCTCATTGTGATACATTATATACGAATTTCGTATAATAAAAAGTTTTTAAGTTTTACTTTGTGCACATGGAAATTTCATAATAACGCATTGCGAGATGACGAATGTTATTCACAACGAGTTGTTAAAGATCAGTTCCTATGTGTGCAGTTTTCTTATATTCGATATGAGAGATTGATTATTTAAAGAAATCATTAAATTTATTATCTTATATTTGACCACAACGCAAAACAGAATAAACTCCACGACGCACCGTTGGATTTCGACCCAACAAACTTTTTTTACACGCATATCAAATACTTCGTTATATTTTTAAATATATATTTCAATTTTTTTATTTCTTTTAATACAATTTATTTAAAAAAATGTAGTATAGGTCATAAACGACCCGACGCTTTAGAGTTAATACACTTACAATGATTTAATTTATTGTCCTAAATTTTAACATTAAAAAAGTACTCGGTTGCAATTAATATATCAATATATTCTATTTTACTATTAATATATCGCTCGAATTAAAAAAATTAAGTAAATTGCCTATGCCTAATGAACAGGCGTAAATTAATATGAATCGTGATATTTTATTGTGTGAGATATTCTTATTATTTACGCGCGGCCAGAAATCTTCTTTATAAGAGTAACAGGGGATTTCAACGCCGGCCTCCTCTCCAATATACCAGATCCGATGGCTAGCGCCGCGCTAAGCGAACGAATTAAACCAGCGTGTGCGGGCGCCATGTTGTTTAATTGCCGCATAATGAGAAGACCAATCGGCAGTGAGAATCTCGCCGTGCAAAAACGAGCAAAACTTTCCTCGGCTCTTTCTCTCTCTCTTCCTTCGCCCCCTTACATCCTTCTCCCACTTTCTCACCAAGCTCGTAATAACACTTCTCCGCTCAAATACTTCCTGCTTCCCCCTATTTATAGCAAAATCTAGCCACGTAGGTTTCCCAACGAGACTTTTTATCGTTTCACTCTATCATCGTAAAGCCGTTTCTATGCTGGTCGTGACCAACGGAGAATTTATCGATCTAAGAGCGATCTAACAGTGATTACTTAATTAAGTCTTCGAAAAGTCCTTAAATCAGCCTTACGAATTTAGAGTCGTTTCATTTATTTCACTTTAATTAACACGCGAAGCTAATAGCTATATATCACTATCTAAATTTATCACTACATTTTAAACCCTTAACACTTATTCGAAGCTAAATGTTAAATTAATCGGTAATATAGTAACGTATTTTAACGTTTTACTCTAACAAGTCTTTTTATCCGCGTGAAATCATTGTTGCTCGATAAATTAATAGAGTGAGCGACGGATTATTCGAGGGAAAACTGGGATCGCCGGCGTGCGATCACTCGTAAATCAATCTTAAATTTGATTCGGGCCTTCTCGAACCGATTGTAGATCCTGCCCTTCCCCGACCCGATTGTTTCGAATATCTTCTGGCCTCGTACTTTATTGCCCGCTGCATGCTCACGAAGAGGGCAGGCCCCCGCTTGTAAGGAGCTCGTAAATTCGTCACCATACTTGGCTCCCGCCGCAAAACCTCGTGGGTGAGTCGCGCTATATTTCCCACGGGAAACTTAAAGCACTATCCACATTCAGTATGCCCTCGTGTTTCGATTGATTAATGATCGAAGCCAAAATTAAATCTAGGTAACGAGGTGCAGACAGACGGAAAGTTTACCGATGACAAGAAACATTATTTAGAATATGAAACAAATCCTCGATTCGTCTCTGTTATCTCTCACCAACATTATAATAACAATCGTTGAAATAATAGTATTGGTACATTCAAGTTAAGGAGTGAAAATTGAATAAGAAAACAATGTTAAAACCAACAAGTTTTTACAGCGACAGTGTTTTTGCGCAGATTATAACGATTACACTTAGACATGATACTTGTCATAATGACTGTATTAAAAATCTCTTTCTCAATCTGTCTTTAGCTGAAAACAATCATATGCTCGCTAGATATTAATAATGTAAAGAAAGTAGTCCAAGCGAAAAGCACATTACGAAACGAGATGGATCCAACGTACGACATATTGTCGAGTATAATTTTTATATTATTGAGAAAATTGTGTTGAGGAAACTACATAACTGTCCATCCGAGTGCCATTGATGAAAGCTTCTAATTATATCTCTCGTAGCGACACAATAGGGCGAAGATGAAAATTTGTTGGACGTCTTTGTTTTACTTGTTAGTCGGTTCCGTCATCAGTCACGGTATCTTTAACGCCTCGTAAAACCGAGATACGCACCACTCAAAATAGCCGGCGCCACGCCTATTATGTGCGTGGTGATGCTACAGGATCATTTGGGTGACTTACGCTCGCAAATGGGTGCGCGCTGATGAATTAGCGCACGATTACGAGGCGATGCGCTTTTTCAAAACGACCATCGACTCCTACTTAGCCCCTTTCTAATTGGTTTCCACTACGGCAACGACATGTGGCCTATGCGTATATCTCCTTTTTCAGCAAACGCAATCGATCATACGCCGTTAAGTACCGAATTCGAGTAGCGTCCGAAGTATAGCGATATATTCAAGAAAGTAGTTTTTTTTGCTCTCATAATGCGACATCGGTCTCAAGGGAAAAATTATGATTGCGCAGAATTTTTTGAAACGGGAATTTCATTACCAACGAGGGCAGTTAAGCTTGACATCGAAGCTATGGCGGAATCTACTTGAAATTAATTTAAAAAGTCTGCCTATCTATAGGCTTGCGAACTTGGTCCAAGTTCTAGCATCGTGGACTCAGGCCTTAAATATTTGTGCGATTATAAGTTACACTGTTCATCTCTTATTTAATATAAAAATGTTATAACGTCAAAAAATCAATTGTACACACCAACTCTTTCATATTGCTCGTAATTTCTCAATGTCGTTCGATCGCTAACGAGGTAGGGAATTGTATTGTTAGCGATATAATTGTGGCGAAAAAAACTCGCTCGTTCGATCCCTAAATTTCAATTCGAGTCCGCGATTAAATTTCTCTTTTTTTTTGGTTTCTCGTGGCGCCTTACGATGCGCCCTGCGTATGGCCGCGCCTTAAGGACGGACCTCGAGAAACCACCCTGGACAGGATGGTGAGAGGGGAAGGAACGACGGGACCCGGCGCTCCGCATACTAAATCACTGCCGCACGTCCGTTTCTTTACATTGCGCAGATTTTATTGATTATTTTACGACCGGGAACATTGTAAATCTCTTCATCCCGCGCCGGCGGCCCCCCCGGCACCGTCGCGAGGTGGCCCCATCGGGCGCCCATAGCGCCAATTATGCGAGTCGAGAGGTATTGTTGCCATATTCGTCTCTCGATACGGCAGAAGAGCCTCGCGTAACATCATTCCAACGACTTTACGTAATAAATTTTTGCCAGTCATTCGTGCCTGGTTGATTCCACGAGGGTGAGGCGTGCACGAACGGATATAATCGGACACTTCAAAATGGAATAAAGATATTATTGTATTTCTTATTTATTCTGCTGATTATTGAGCTATATCTAAGTGCTCGCTGTGAGCGTATTCGTCTCGGTACTGAAAATATGTTGCGATTATTCTACTTCATAGATAATGCAAATAAAATAATCCAAGTAAAAAGCACATTGCAAAATGAGATGAATCCGACGTGCAGCATATTGTCGAGTACAATTTTTATTTATTATTGTTGAGAAAATTATGTTACGGAAACTACACAACTGCCAATCTGAGTATCATTGATGAAAGCTTCTAATAATATCTAATACTTAAATGTAAATTGAACATTTATTAAAAAACAATATTAAGTAATAAACCAATGGAAGGTAATCATAAGGGAGGCGAATTTCTAGTCGCTTAATTCCTTTTATGTAGAAAGTGGAGATTGGAAGATGTACAGAAATAACAGAGAAAAATGTATGTGAGAATCTACTCTTCCAATATCGTTTTATGAGGCACCACATTTTGTCTTCGCGCGACGCCGAGGGGGGACCGGCTGAGAGCGATGCCCCTGAAAGAGGAGAAGACAGGATTTGCTCTGATTTACGCGCGACGCGCACTAAACAATGTTGTTCGTTTTCGCAGTTCGCTAATGGTCGCCGCCGGTGCCTTAATTACAACCAAATACGGTCCAATCAGCCCGCCGGGGACCGCCGGTGTTGGATCGTTTCGCGATTTCCAGTCGGCCGGCATATTGTCGGGGAGGAACACGACGATGTGCCCCTCGTTCGCCATTCTGCCACCAACCGACACGTCCGCTCTGTCGTATATAGACGACGTCATGGGCGCCGCCATGGAGGTGGCCCTTGGATCTATATATGTACACTCTTAAGCGTATACCGCGCACCAAAAACTGGAGGAGGTACACGTTAAAATAAAAAGTATACGTAATTATGAGGCACATAAAAATCAACCAAAATAGGAGGAAAGATAGTACCTCGAAATTAAGAGTCTTATTTTGAGGACACATGTCTTGGTGGATGCCCACAATATAGCTATAAAACGGTAGATTGATCCACATTATGTAATTTGCGAATGTACAGGGTACATTCGCAATTTAATTCTTGGCACTGGCCACGAAAAATCGCGATACAAGATTAAAAGTGTATCAAAAGAGACACTCGATTTCCAAGCGCGACAAAGCTCGACCAATGCGATCAAGGAGGCATTTGATGAACTCTATCGCGAGGTGCTCGTGACAGGAAGAATATCCGTTTACTTTTTCTCTTTTGAATTAATGCGGTTGGTGAAATGAAGCAATCGAAAGAAGGGGAGGAAGGGAATATCTTCTGCCAAACTTATCGATCCCGGTTAATTAAGCCGAGCAAGAGATGATTAACACCTTGTGGGTGTGTCCGGCGCGAGTTGCGACCGAATGATACAGGATAATGAAGGAATGTATAAATATATGTAGAACTCACGGACCCCGATGGGCGAATGTAATTTCGTTTGGCGAAATGCATTTAAGCGCTAATCACGAAACTCATTGTGTCTTTATAAATTCGCGGTAAACGAGAAACTGATAAGTCGAACAAATTAATTATTAATTAACAGCAACCTTCAACGTTTCTTATTATCCTTTAATGGTTTCATGATTAAGAGCGAGTATACATAAATAATAGTTTGATAACATGGACGTAGAAGTTTCGCAGTTAAAACAAGGAAATATATATTGTATTTAAAATATATTTAATTTGTTTGAAAGATGAAAACGAATTAAGTGTTTTTGAATTGTTCGGTCGCACTCCGCGAGTGACCAAGTCGAGCGGCACTTCAGCCACTGTC